TGGCGCAGAAACGCTGGCGCATTTCAAAACCATCCATACTCTCCCACCCATTCTTATTTTTCGCACGTATCAACTCTGCGAGCTCTCTCTCAACATCTTCCCGCACTGCGTTGGCTTTCCCTCCCTTGCTGCTGATTCTCTGACGTTTTGCGTTGTATTTCGCTACTGGAGAAGTCTCCTTGATTCTCTTGAGCCTCGCTGCTTTCTCTTCTTTAGCGATAATTGCAGTAACCTCCTCGGCCGATTTTCCCGAAAGACTTTGCCCCAAGGATCCCTCTATCTCTTCCTCACTTCCATCACTCACTATCTCATCATCACTCACCAAGATACTGAGGCATCGCGCCTCGCGAATGCATGCATTTGCTCTGTCTTTCTCTTCCTTCTTGATTCTCTCTATCGTCTCCAAATCCATCGTTATCAAGTCATGGTAGGAGTACATAGGCTGAAGCCCATATATTCCTACATCTTCGACCCGTTCACTGTGATCTCTGCGGACAAACATTTCGGAAGGCGAGTGGAGGAGGCGCCAGAATCTTTCTTAACTTCGAAAAGATAAAATGTGAATCTTCCTCGCGTGAGCTGGTTTCTATCTTGTCTAGTATTCCAAATATATTAGCTTGGAGGAAACACCAAACACAAGTTATCAAACCTTCTATAACCAACTAAAATGAAAGAAAAGATAGTCTTTTTATATCCAAGATTGTGGTTCTTGTGATTTACTCAGAATTCATGAGGCTACCTGGAGACTCTATCACCATATCAACTGACAAAGGTCAAACTGAGAACAAAATATTACACTTCGCCTGCTTTCGGTGGGTCAGGTATTAGGTTCTTTTATCCTTAAGCAACTCTGGGTTAGTAAGCCTTCGATTCTACATTCATCATTTGATATTTCAACTATTCTTGAACCTAATATTCTCGCGCGACATGTTGACAGATACAGAAGTCACCTCATTTTGACAGAGCAACAGCTTCTTCACCAAATAATATATATGCTTCTCATCACTCATTAGAATAAACTACCAGAGATACGTCGCATACAGAAATAGTGTATAACTCATATCTCAGGGCACAGCTTCCAGCTCTCTGTTCATTATAGCCATCTCACATATCTTAGTCTTAATTCTTCTTCGAACACGTCTCCAGCTAGTCAGATGCTATAAAATCAACTCCGCGACATGAGTTTCCATCCATGCAGAACCAAGGATAGGCTGATTATGAGCATGTAGATCAAAATAAATCTCATGAAGTATAAATATTCTTTCCCAAACCTAACACAGTGGAAACCAGAATGGAATGCCTATCGGTATCAACCACAGGAGGCTACGAAACGAACAAATAATTAGTACATAGCGGTCAATTCGCTTATAGTCTACAATGCAAGAAAAGTAGACTCTGCTCTATTCAAGTAGAGTGAAGATTGCTTGACCGCGTGAGATCTCTTTCACTATTCTCCAAATGTGCCTACTCTAGAACCAATCAGCTGTCTGGCCAAACGCCGCGCAGATAAGAGCTTTATCCGCTCCCGAGAGAATTGCTCTGCCTGTCTTTGTCACTAGTGCCTTCCACGATATGCCCATTCTCTGGAGACTCAGCTTGCATCGCTGCTCGTGTTCGGGGTTAAAAAATGATCGCTGATCTCTTATTAGAGATATTTATAGATATTATTTGATTTTTCACTAGATTCTACCAAACGAGATTTTTTTTTCACTGCACTCAAACATTGCTGTACTAAGATTGACCTCCTCTTTCCAATACACAGCCCTTCCATAAGATCAGGATCATGCAGAAGCAAGATACGAGGTTCCGGCGATGTGCAGGAGGCAAACCCTTGACCCAAGTATTTTCCACTTCGACCACGACATCTTTTAGCAGGATTCTCGAAAATAGCATTCTCTGTCATATAATATGGAATGGAATCAACATTGGAACATTATCATCGTAAAAATACTTCATACATTTTTAACAGAAATATCTAAGTCTGTAGCTTATTTTCTCATCATCCAAAAATAAAAGATAAACAATCAATACCATTGCTTCACTGTACTCGGCCCACTTCTTCCCTTCAAAACACCTAACGTGCGTCGTTGTTTTGTCATATTCGCTTATCAGTCCGTTTCTGCGAAATTGCCTGCAATTATGGTATCAAGAATGGGTCTGGCACAACACTACAATCGTATCTTCAGAAAAAAGGATGATGGCGCGAGAATTCTCTCGGGCGATAATTTGCAGAACATTTTGTATCACAATGCTACGTCTAAGAAACAGAGGTGTAGCTATACTCGATTTTCGCACTCACGATGCGCGACTTGTAAAGTTCCATGAAGTCGTAGCCTTCGTCGTGGAACATGTTCAAGAATTGCGAAGACGGCAGCGTACCCATAAACGCCTGCGCACAAGTGTAATCATCCAGAAAAGATGCACGGTTTCTTTGCCACCATGCATCCACTGCCTGTAAGTGTGATGTTGAGTTTTTCATTCACCTATGTCGAAATAACCAAAGTACGCATATTATAGGTAGGACAATTCATTTTTCATTAGTAATTCGGTGGAGACATCATCTTAATGGACTTAGATCTTTAGAGAAGTGATATTAATCGATTACCTTTGTGAATGTCTCTTCATCGATCGGATTCGTTACAAGCGCTGGGACATCTCTCTCAACTTCGACATGATTCCTCATCAGGTTCATCGCGTTCTCGCGAGCCGCCGCTACTCTTTGGCGGTTTTGCTCTGTGATCCAGCGTAGTCGCTCTGCTTCCGCAATCTTGGCCGTCTCATCAGCTACTCTTTTTGCTTCTTCTTCTTCTTCTGCCCGCGCTTGCTCAACCGAAAAATCCAAGAAATTAATTGCTTGCTCGTGATCTCCTTCGACCTCTCGAGGGAGATGAGAATTAGAAAATACTATCTTTAATAAAGACACGGCTTCACCACCCATGGTAATATTTTTGGTGTTCCCCAAGAGAAACTAATCTCAAATATCAATAGAAAACTTTAACGTAACATGTTCACGCTCTTCTGCCTCCTCATCCTCACCCTTGATCGCCACGCTTGCCTGTTGAGATGAGTCACGAGTTTTATACACACAATAGTTTTTCCTACAGCAAAGGAGAATGTTTCACAGCAAATAAAAAGTCACACAAAGCCCTTTATAGAAGAAAATATTACCAAGCCTTCAGAATTCATCAGCTCCAACATCTTTTGACGCTTTGCGCTAGATAGACTTCTCATCATGGCCGCAAGCTGTTTCTCCTCATCATCAGGAGAGTCAGCTTTTCTTTCCCGCTTCGCCTGAACCGATTTCACCGCAAAAGGATTGTTGCATCCACCATAGGGGTTGCGATTTCCATCGTTTCCATTCGGATTATCTCCACCAGGAAAGCCTCCAAATCCAAATCCGAATCCGGAGCTCGATGATGTGCTACAGTTGAAAGCCATCTTCAATTTCTTTTTCTTGGAAAAAGACTCGACTTATTTACCTACCAAGAACAACTTCGGGAAGAACTTCCTAGCCTTACGAAAAATACAGACAACCGTATGCTAATCAAATAGTTTTTTTACTCGAACAAATGATTTTTCCAATCAAATTCCTAACACGTTTTGAAGAACAATTAATGATATTATAATATATATAAACTCGTACAATTCGTTGTCCAAATTCAAATATTGAGGAGGGAAAATGGGAAAAAGACACTGAAATGATAGTTAAAACAATTCTCCCTATCAACCAGATTTTCTCGTTCACATCGTCCTTAAGACGGGACTCAAACTAACGAAAGGCACTACTCCCGGCGACGCAAGGACACTTCTCCACTCAATAACGGGTCCTCCGATATTTTCATAGGACAGATCGTCATTAGAATCTACATCCCAAGCTCTCTCTCCTTACCAGATAGTGCTTCTCACTCCATGCCAGAGCCTGAGTGAGACGCAGAAACATTCATTGTTTCCAGGAGAGAGCCCTTCCCATAATATATTCAAACAATAACTGAGCTCCTTCCAACCCAACTATCTTTCTCGTCAACGCCCTTCCTCCTGTGTCAACTATTTCTGGGAAGTTCCACGATACCACTCCTCCCCCCCAAGCTCTTAAATCAACCTTGTACGTATAATACGCAAGATAGGTAGGCTCTCTTTCTTGGGGAGGCGGTGGTGGAGGAGGAGGTGTCACAGGATTCGCAAGCCGGTTCCATGCTCTTTGGATTTTTCCTGGTCTATTCTTGCCCATCTTTACAAATTAATAAAGATCATTCCTTAGGATTAATTGCAATTAGATCCTATCCTTTTGCTATGTCTTTGATGTCTAACATCATACACATCGATACTTTCTCTAATCGATCTGGGACCAGCATTTCAGGTACCATCTTTCAGAGGGTCGCACTCTCCAAGGATATTATACCAAATCAATCTCATTTCCATAATTAGCTCACACTTTAAAAATCGTCCACGATATCTCGTTTTGGACAGAAAAAACCTCGACAGATAATAAATTCTCAATACATCTTCGATCGCTCTATTCAATAAACCATATTTTCACGCCTCCTTCACAGAATACTAAGCTTCTCCACAGAATGTATCTCCACCCTGTCTCTCACAAAGCAAAGCATGAGTCCAAATTCTTTTTTGTGTTTGCTCTCTTTATCACTCCATTCAAACAAACTACTTCACATTCCTCGTTGCAAAAGAAAAAACTCCTCATCAGAAACGTAAATTTTTTGGGTTTCTCAGATCACACCTCTACCAAAGTCTACCACACAAACGTCGTGCGTAGCTGCCTATTTCTTCATGCGACGTAGCATGTTTCCAAGACATTACTATCGCATCTATAAAGAATGAAGTCCTAATATCTTTCAGATTTTCAACAGTCATGCTCATTGCTATCTTTGCAAGTCTTTGTTACAAGTAACATTCTTGAGAATCAAAGACTGCATCAAGCCACAAAACAAAAATAATATTTTTGTTTTGCAGTGGAATAGTTGATACGTGCTATGATTACACGTTTAAATATCCCAATCATCGGAGCTGCATCCTCTCTCTTTCCGAATGTCCTCCCTCTTCTTCCCAGCTAAAAACTGACTCCTACGCATGTTATCCTCTGCTTGCTTTTCCTTCCTCGTTTTACTCCTTGATTTGCGACTCGTGCATGGCGTCCTGGGTTCTTTGTTTAGAGCTAACCCTTATCCATCACCAGAATCTTCTTAGACCTATATGGCCTTATATGATAGGCCTAAGAAATTTTAGAAAGATGGATTAGAGTGAGGCATAATGTTTTAGTCTTCGACGAAATTACAGGTAAGCTGTACTTTTGAGCGTTCACAGCCGTCACAGGTTTCCCAGAGATATTCACCATCAGATCATACGAACCTTGACCATTGTCGACTATATACAAATATGGCTCAAGAGGATCGCCGATCATCTTCCATCCCATCCTGCTGTAGAGCCGGCTCATTTCTTCTCGTCTTTCATCAAAATCCATGTCCGCGGTGAAACTGAAGGAAGATTTTTATTCATATTATGAATGTATATATTCATTATCATTTCCACTGGACTCATTACACCACAAAATCGTCGTCTAATCTACCGATCATGAAACAAACATTAAATAAACATGGATACTGTAAATGTTCTGGGAGAAGTCTCCGGATCGCGTCGAGATCCCACCGCGGCAGGCGTGTAAAGTCTTTGTGTGGCTCACCATCAGCGGACGTGTACATTCCCCTGATCTTTACAGAGGTCGACGAGCGCGCAACAAAGGCCATTTTTTGTTCTGGATAATAAGATACTAGATTCAATATGAATAAAACAAATTTCTTTCAATTCCTTGATCCATAGAAAAATCTAATATCATGAAAATGAGAACTAATTCGACGAAGTTACTTGATCTTTCAAAAATCGCTAGTCAAAACTATCACCAAAATCGAACTGAATCAAAGACTTACTTTGAACAACCTGTAAAATAAAATAAAAAATAGAAAGACCTGCCATGAGCACTAATACTTCAACATACATATGTCGCATCATATTCTCATAGTGACTCTTGTTCATTATTTACTTTAAGAAATTAGTGTTTCCTCATCAATTGTTTCTTCCCAGATCAACCTTCACTGACAGATAAACGCCACTCACACCAGAGCAAATCCAAATTTATACATCATGGATTCGCAAACACATTCTTCATACAGTCTCCTCAGAGCTCTTCCTTCTCTCGCTTCATTAATTGTAATTCGAATGAGGAAGTCTCTGCTTTCATAAATATGCATGTAGTAATGGTCCTCAAAAATCAGGAATGAGACGACTCATTCTCTATCGAAAATCACGCTTTTCAATCTGCAGATGAACACAAACTTTTTCTTTAAGGGCTCACAAGCGGCGGGTGCTTCGTTCTACTCCTGCAACCTAAAAACCAAAGATGTTTTTTGAAAACACACGAATGAGGGTAATAGCATCTCAAGTCTTGTGGGACGTAGTTTTTTCGGAAATGCGCCAAATTGGGTAGATATTAACAGAAAGATGAAAATTGAAAATGGAAAATTGAAAAAATTGAAAAACAAACAGGTCGTGATGTAGGGGAATATGCACAAGAATGATAGAACAACAATTCGGTTTGGATAAAAAAGACACGAGTATACTTGTTCGATATCATTCTTCCCGTTTCTTTGTGATTCATAAATGCGAAACATCGGCACCACTCGCTTACTTCTTACATATCGAAACTTGAATAGGTTCTCAACGTCCTAGTTCCACTTTCATTTCAAACTTGAGATGGAGTGGGAATGAGTGAATTCCGTATCGGACTCAGTTACAACGGACTATGTTAACAGAACATCGCTATATCCTTATAGATATTACCTCAACATTTATAGTCTCCACTTTTTATCTCCTTACACATATTCATCACTTCAACTATTCTTTTTATTACTTGTTGCATTTCTTCCCCTACATTCATCCTACTCCTCGTCACCCAAACGCAGCTTCAGCTTCTCGACGACCGCGTCGATGTTCGCTTCCACATTGTCAATGCATTCCCTCTGCCGCTGCTGATGACTTAGAAAAAATAAAATATGACAATCAGATATTCATAGCTGATCAAGTGAGACTGAAAGCAATCCAATTAGGACCATGAATTAACTGATTGATTGATTGATTGATATGCCTGACAAAAGATTGATTTATTAAAGAAGTATATGAGCGAAAGAGAAACGCCTCCCTTTCATCATAATTGTTACGCTAAGAGGCCTTAGGCTGGAACTGGCAACCTTTCAAAATGGAACTAAACAGCTTAAGATAAGCGCCATAATTTTTTCGCTTCTGCAAATGGCAAGTGGACCTGCAACAGCCACCGATATCGTTCCCGTTTCAAGAGAGTCCCCGACTCGGCCTCTCTCTTTAGGCAAACGAATTCCTTTTTTAGCGGTAGGCTTTTGGTGCTTACTTACCCCGCTTTTTATGCCTTTCCCCCCTTGAAGACGCATAAAAGACAGAAACGGAAGCACCATTAGCCTACCCGTAACTCTTGGAATTCTGTCAAACTGCAAGAGACGTCAGCGATCGCGTTGAGTATCTCATCCTCTGCACTGTATAGCTCGTCCCCTGTAAAATAATCATAGTAGAAAAAAGTTCGTCGATTGGTAGCTGGTGCGTCACGTAAGGACGGAGCCAGGAGGCCCTCTCTAAAAGACGGAATCACTCTTAAACACCGAACAGGAACTACATCACTGGCGAAGTAAAGGAAGTACCTGCTACCTCCCTCAAGCGCGAGGACGCCTGATACCACTCCGCCATAGAGCGCTCGATCCGTCCTAAAACATCACGAAACTGCTCCTGGGTCGCAGCTTCGTCAAATTCTCTGACGACTCCTCCACGGCTGGCGCGAGCTGATAAGGAAGACAAGAAGATACTAAGCCGGTTCATTCATATGCTACTCATCCTACCAAATGCGATCAGTTTGAGTATCCTAAGGCTAATGAAATCTATAAAGTTCGCATCATCGTCAAATTCTTTGATGACTCCTCCACGGCTGGCGCGAGCTGATAAGGAAGACCAGAAGATACTAAGCCGGTTCATTGATATGCTACTAGTCCTACCAAATGCAATCTGTTTGAAGATCCTAACGCTCACGAAACCTATAAAGTTCGCGGCTTCGTCAAATTCTTTGACCACTCCTCCACGGCTGGCGCTAGCTGATAAGGAAGCCAAAAAGATACTAAGCCGGTTCATTGATATGCTACTAGTTCTACCAAATGCAATCAGTTACAAGATCCTAACGCTAATGAAACCTATGAAATTCAAGAATAGCACGCCTTTGGTTCGACGATGTAAATACCGGCTGCCCTCTGTTGCCCAAGCGGTGAAAGCTTCGAGATGGTCTCGAAATAAATCCCGCGAAGATCGGGCTCGCGATCTATTGACGGAGTGGCTCGAATCTGCTGCCGCAGTGCCTGACCCTTCAGGAGGAGGACCGATAATCTAAATTGTTCTGCCATATTATCTTAACTTACGGAGACGGGTCCAGCCAAGGTAACTAGAAAAAAAGAAGAAGAATAGGCGAAGGATATACAACTACCAAGTTACAATATGGCAAGCTACGCAAGATCCGTTTCTTAAGCTTATAAAAGATGACGCGAAAGCATTAAGATATATCATCCTCAAATTTCCATGCTCTGGAAACAAAAATTTCTAAAGACAACTAACGTATGTTAACTACTTTGCTAGTTTAAACTATCTAGAAAACTTGAACGGCTGGGAGTGGCTGGCGACCACAGGCGATGGCGGCTGCAGCTATGGAAGGCTTGCGACAGGGTATGGATGAAAATTCTCTGAAGTTGATTGTTCAAGATCTGCATAGTCTGAACTGTGGATCCACAGCACAAGAAAGAGCCATAGTTTGCGACTCTGAAAACACTGAGACACCATTTCAAGAGGATAATCATCCTGACCCTGATGGCAAGCCAACAAAGCGGCAGTCGCCAGCACCTACTTTACCCGCCGCATCCCAGCCCTTCGATTTAACTAGCTAGTTAAAGATATCTATTGAACTAGCTATTTGAAATGAGATGAAATTTTTAAATTCCATATCAAAAATTTGAGGATGATGAGTTTTTTTTATCTTAATGGCAAGAAGATTCATGCAACGAAATCAAGAAATTATGTCTCGTTTTCTCGTTTAAGGGGCCAAAAACCTTTGGGTCTCCTGAGGAGCTTCCTCGGCTTTATGATGTAGTTAGTGATCTCTCTTGCTCTTAGATCTAGGTCCCTGAGGCAATCATATAGAAACCAACGTGCTCTAGAATAATACTCCTGGGATACGAATTCGATTAACAATGAGAATTCTCTATCTGTGGTAGTCAAAAAAATCTCAAGGAAACGAAATTTTTTATCAGCAGCACCTGCATAGAGGTAAAAATGTTTCATACACAAATAACACGGTTTAAAAAGAATTCCCTTCCGGTAGGCCAATAAACCAAGGAAAGCGGTTTTGGAGACATTGCTTAGAAGCAAACGAATTCTAGAGATGTATGAAACCAGCGCCGCACGCGTGGAAGTTACGTTAATTCTCCACTTCACGGCATGCTCGCCTTGCGCTACAGAGCTACCACGTGAACTTTTCAAAAAGTGATAAGGTGGATTGCGCAAATAATTCAAGTACCGTAGCTCTAGCTTTTCGACGATGAACTTGATAGCGATTAGTTCTTCACAATCAGAAAGTACAGACGTGACCAAGTTTATAACGCTAGGATCGTCGGCATATAGTTTATAGCTACAGCCACTCGGAAGAGAACTGACGTTGCGCGCTGTTAGCTTAAGCATATCTAAATAAAACGATTATCTAAGCGAAACTTTGTAGAGTAAGTAGTTCAATATATGTTGTTGGTCAGGATAAACCTAATTTAGTCGAGATGAAAACTACTAACCAGTTGTCTTACTGAATAAGTAGTTGCATATATGTAAAAATATATGTCGAGATAACACTCCTGTGAAAGTTTTTTGAGAGGAGTAAGATGTGACACCTGAAGAAAGTTATGTTAAACGCGCGCAACTCCTTATCTTCTACTCTCTGTAATTTAAGCTGGAATGGGCTTCCCCTGTACTGCATTTGAAACATTTAACGTCTCACTTCTGCTCTAGATGTTTACTTTGAAAATATAAAACTGAGTATCTCATTGCGGGAGAATCGGCGTAGCTACAGCCCTGCATCTTCTGGTTCATCCTTGACTTTTTGGATCACAAGACACAATGAGGATCTGCCCACGATTTCATTGGACGTAGTGCACTCTGATACTCGAGGATATTTTTCCACCATCCTTGTCTGTTTGGATAACAAGACCAAATGTGGATCTGTCTACAATTTCACTGGACAAAGTGCACTCTGGTACTCAACGATGTTTCTCCGCCATCCTTGATTTTTTGGATCACAAGACCAAAAAAACTGAAATCTTGTCTTCTTCCTTCATCCTTGGTTTATGGATGACAAGAACAATTCCCTTTTCTTGTAAAGGTACATCAATCTTGCAATAGTGAACTTACCTTCATCACACATAAGGAAGGAAAATGTCTCTGCCTTCATAAATCTCGATGTGGTGGAGGTACTAAAAAATCAGGAATGAGGAGACAAAGTCTCTGTCGAAATTCAAGTTTTTGACGTGATTAAGTAAACTAGCACATCAACCAGCACAACAACAGTTCGGTTTTTAATCTTATAAAATCTTGGATCTAAAGAAGATATAGTTTCAAATAAAACTTTACACAGCAATGACATAAACGAAAAAAATGATATACTAACAAG